ATGAATTTTTTTTTTAGTTTGATGTACGCAGTTTTTGTTGATATTGAGTAAGAATTAATAAACGAGGGGGTCTGTATAAGTTTGGGGTAGGTGGGAAAATTTTCAAATATTATTAAACGCCCCCCCCCCTCCTTTTATTAAGGACTCGAGAGTAAGTTACAAACTTACTAGCAAATTGTAAGTATTTGCATACCTTTGTGATTATAGATATAATAATTATGAATTGATAATTGTTATGGCATTAGTGACTATGGTTTTAGTGACTATGGTTTTAGTGACTATGGTTTTAGTAACTATGGTTTTAGTGACTATGGTTTTAGTGACTATGGTTTTAGTGTGTTAAACAGATTTAAATCATGTCTAGAGAAAGAGACAAATTTATAAAATTTGAAAGTGGTTTTGAAAAACAAAAGAAAAAGGACAAACGTTAAAGGTTTTTAAAATCGCAACAGACGCGCTAGTTAAATTTTTTTTTTTTTTTTTTTTTTTTAACATGTTTATTTCATAACTACAAAGTATTTACAATTGACCAATCATCGATTGGCGAATAAAGATATACAAATATAAATATCGTAAACATAAAGTCCAAAATAAATAAGGGATAAATCTAAAATATTGTTACATTCAACTTTGAGACATGATTAAAATAAATACAAAGTACACAATAGAATAACGTGAACGTAAAAATTACCCAAGAAATAAACCTTCTATATAATTTCAATCAGAATAAAAAATATATATATATAAAAGTATGATAAAAACAAGATTTGTATAAGATTGAAGAAAATAATTAATTGTTTGTAGTTATAGGAAGCTCGCAGAAGACTGGGGTCAGTCTTGTCATCGAGTACCTTCTAGACGTGTAATACACATAAAAATCAGTTGCATAAGTGGCAAATATGTATGTGATACATATATGCCTTAAAATTATTAATATTACTATCTCCTTTTAGTATCATTTTTATTGATTCCTTTGAAAAGTTACATTTTTTGTTTTATTAGGGTTGTTTTATATTATTTTTAATTTTTAAATTTTAAATTGGAGTTTAAAAAAACTCCTTGTAGTTGTTTAACTTGATTATTGTAGATTTTAACTTTGTTTTTAGGGACTGTTCGTTGTTTAAATTTATTAGCGATTCGTTTCTAGAAATTATTTTGTTAAATTAATAGGGACCACGATGTTTTATTGAAAACTTTGAGAGTTTATTTTTTTCAAAGGGTATCTTAAAGTTTCCCGTTGCTCTTGTATTGTATTTGTTTACGTTGTTTTCAAAAAAGTGGGCTGTAAAATGTTCTGGAACCAGACTTAGTTTATATTTAAACATGAAAAGTATATTTTAATACCAGATGGAGCTAAACTTCACGGTCAAGATGGAGGGTCAGCTGCTGTTGAGGGTTTGAGTAAGGTGGGTAAAGAAACTGAAATATTCGTAGATCAATCTATTCCAAGTACAAGTAATGATAAAGAACAAAACGATTTTATGCCGTTTGATACTTCTGATTCTCAAAACCTTTCAATTTCTACTAGAGGTATAGCGTTTGAAGTTAAAGATCCTTCAGAATCTGGTCAACAAAACTTAATAGTTTGTACTGAAGCTGAAGGAACCGTTTTTGACATTAACAATCCAGTTGTTTGGCCTGTTACGTATTCAACTGCTAATTTTGATGAAATTACCCAAAAGGGCCCATTAGAAGTAACTAATTTTAGTTTTCCTAAAAACTCAGAAAAAAGATATTTCCCGGCTAAGTATTATAAATGAGTCATGAGCAACGGAGAAGAGGTGCATAGGCAATGGCTTGTATACAGTAAAACTTATGACAAGGCGTTTTTTTTTTGTTGTAAGTTATTTAGTAACAATACTGAATCTCAACTATTATGCGAAGGTTACAGTGATTGGGCACATTTTGGCAGAGGACTTGAATCCCATGAAATGTCACCAAAGCACGTTGAGAACGTTAAAAAATGGAAGGAATGTGAAATGCGTTTAAACAAAGCTTTTAAACGCATTTCACATTCCTTTAAGCTAAAAACAATTGATACAAAGCACAGGGAACTGATAAATAAAGAAAAAAAGCACTGGCGTGAGGTTCTGAAAAGAATTGTTAATGTTATTAAATATTTAGCAGAACATAACATTGCATTCAGAGGATCATACAGCAAAATATATGAGAGAAACAACGGCATTTTTTACGGAATTATTTAAATGATGGCTACCTTCGACCCCGTCATTCAAGAGCATGTTAGGCGAATTCAATTGTCTGAAATTCATGATCATTAAGGGCAAACATTCAAAACGAATTAATAAAGCTGCTATCTGAAAAGGTAAGATTAAAGAATGTTGCGTATATAAAAGTAGCTAAGTATTTTTCAGTAATGTTAGACTGCACACCGGATCTAAGTCACAAGGAGCAGTTATCCTTGATCATACGGTTTGTAAAAATTGATATGAATGCAAGTTCTCTTGAGTGTGAAAATGAACGTGTAATATCGAAGAACATATCCTTGGATTCTTAGACGTTAAGTCAACAACGGGAAAAAATCTAACTGATATTCTTCTACAAGAGTTAGATGAAATTGGATTAAAAATCAGGGACTGCAGGGGACAAGGGTATGACAACGGTGCCAATATGAAAGGTATCCACTCTGGAGTACAAGCACAAATCTTAGAAATAAATCCGAAGGCATTTTACATGCTCTGCGCTAGCCATAGTCTCAATCTCTTAATTTGTGACGCTGCAAAATGTTCACCTAAATGTATGACGTTTTTTGGTGTTGTGCAAAGAATTTATGCTATTTTTTCTTCATCGACGTTGCGATGGGAAATTTTCATGAAACATGTACCAAATTTAACTGTAAAAAGGTCCTGTGACACTCGTTGGGAAAGTAAACTAAAAAGCGTAAAAGCGCTTCGATATCAAGTTAAGGAAGTTTATACTGCATTAGTTGAATTAGTTGAGTTCACTGAGGATCCAAAAGCTAATAATGAAACACGATCAGTTATGAATGAAATAAGTAGTTATGAGTTCTTACTAGCCCTATGTATTTGGTATGATGTACTGTTTGCAGTAAACAGTGTTAGCAAAAGCCTACAAGTTAAAAAAATGCACCTTGGAGTTGCGTCGCAGTTATGTCAAGGGCTAGTTCAGTTTTTTCAGAAATTCAGAGCTGAAGGTTTTGTGGCGGCAACGTTGGTAGCAAGAGAACTAAGTGAAACTCTGGGTGTAGAGCCAAATTTCATAGAAGTCAGGCAGAGAAAGAAAAGAAGAATGTTTAAGTACGAGGAAGAAGATGATCTTACGGTAGAATCCGCCGAGCAAACGTTTAAAGTGGAGTATTTTTTTGTTATTGCGGATACTGCAGCACAGTCATTGAAAAGAAGATTTGAACAAATAGCTACTTACGATACTATGTTTGGATTTTTATATCATGTCAAAAAACTAAAAGCAGCAAAAGATGATAAATTGTTTCAAAAGTGTAAAGACCTAGAATTGTTCCTAAGTTTTGAAGAAGAAAAGGATGCTTGTGGCAATGACCTTTTTTCTGAACTTAAGGTTTTTCGAGAACTTCTACCGGCTGAGGTGGAAACAGCTACGGGAATTTTGAGATTTATTCATCAGATTCAAAACTCATTTCCAAACGTATTTATAGCGTATTGAATTTTACTGGCTATACCTGTAACGGTGGCAAGCGCAGAAAGGAGTTTTTCACGCTTGAAACTTATCAAAACATATTTAAGGTCGTCCATGGGTCAAGAAAGGTTATCATCCCTGGCAATGTTATCAATTGAATCGGACACAACAGCTAAAATTGATGACATTATTGACGACTTCGCTGGAATGAAAGCAAGAAAGGTACAGTTTATATAAGGTGAGTCTAAGTTTTGATATCTAAGTTTTTATCCCTTTGACGCAATTTTAAAAATTATGTAACCATAGACAAATGTTTTTACAATAAAACAGTATTATTTTTTATTTGGTAAACAAGAACTACTTGTTTTTATTAGTTAATACTTTCCAGGATTCTTTTATAAAATTATGTTCTTTTATTTTACAGATGTCAATATTTATTATATAATATCTACATACCTATGAGCACCCTTCATATCGATTGCTGAAAACATAATATGTGCAAGTAACATTACTATTTTGTAAAAGTATGTTATTTTATTTATAACTAATTGTTCAATAATAACCCAACAAAAAAAAATTTATGTATTATTCTAATTTGTTTATTTCTTGTCGGACAAAAATTAGGGGAAAAGCGCTTATAATGGCATAGCGTCTATGATGGCATACCAGTCAAATTTTCATAAATATTGGTTATGGCAAAAAAGTGATTATACCTACATGTCTATACTGACTTTACACTAGTAAAAATACGTCCTTTATGCACAAATATTGCTTTTATATTCAGCAAAATCGATTTTAAGATGTGCTGTTGTGTTTTTGATCTCTTTACATATTATTAACTGTGCAGAAATGAAATTTTCATGCATTTTATTTCCAAGTTTTGTGCATTTAGTGCAACACTAATTTTAATTTTATCTTTTGAACAAGGCAGAAATAGCTTGTTTAAATGAAAATGATGACTTCTTCCTATGATGGCATACCGACGAGTTAGATGTGTTGTAATATTAAAGAGTTGAGAAAACATTTTTTTTTTATAAAACCAACATATTTGTTAGTAAAATAAATATGAATTTTTACTTTAAAGCGCAGTATCTCTTATGCGCATGCTCGAAATTCGATACATTCTATAATTGTTACTACATGTAACAAAGAATGTATCTATGTCAAAACTTTTGTTCTTGGTCTTCAGGAAACTGAATAATGAAGCTTCAAAGTTTAGTATGCCATCATAGGCGCCTTTGCCCTATTATTTATTTTACATTATTAGGCCTGTAAAACTTTAAGAAAAAATTTTATGGTTATTATTCTACGTTATTTTTTCAAGCACTCAGTCCTTTTTATAATCCTACACGAAAATAAAAAGTCAAAAGTATACTAACCTGAAATTTATGTTTTGCACTTGCATAACTCTTTTTTAGACAAAAAGAGAAAAAACTTTTTCTTTGTCAAAGCGCCTAAAATGACGAGGCTTGTTCTTTGAAGAAAGCCTCGCAAAAATGTTTCGCTCCAGGCCTCACATTTTCTAAGGGCGGCTCTGACTTTTTAGGTGATAAACCTAAAAATTGAAAAAACAATTAATTATGCAAGATGACATCTTGCCCCAAACAAATACACCATTAAAACAGTTATAAAAACTAAGTTCTTAAAAATAAAAGTTATTATTAGTTATTTAAAAGGAATAACTAAAAAACTAACATAAATGTTCAAATAATATATACAAAACGATGATTCATAGTAGAAGCATAAGTCTGAATTATCTGGACCACACGTAAAGTGGTTCAAAGTTGTATATTTAATAAATTGTTTCTAATCACCGAATGGTGACAAATTGTATGCACAAGAACATATGCTGCGACAAAGAAAGTTGAGGAAGAAAAAGAATGTTGAGTAAGAGTTCATATCAAATGAACTCCAATCAAGTGTTTGCCGGCGTACATTAGTTAGGTGACCTAACTAACAGTACGTATTGCACCTTCTAACATCGTGTGCAATCCTGTCCGCTTTCTCTATGCTATCTTTCTAACTCGACTACTTCTGTCTTTCACTCGAACATACAATCGTTCTTCCCAAACTCACATTACTCTCGGTCCATAGAACGGGTTATGACGTTCCTTTAGGAGCTGAACTAGACTTTGTGGGCCTTGGTAATGTTGACTCTATATGGCAATTAGCCAGAGGAGGATAGACCACAATACCAAAAGACACCAAAAGCTGGATTCAGCATCACCGATTTAGTATATGAATATCTAACTCTTAATCTAGGCCAAAAATAAAGTTTTACAGACCACTGTGCAGCATCTCAGTATTATGTTAATTTCTTTTTTTTTTTTTTTTTTTAAATATAATGCACAATGTTACATATCAATGTAACCTCGCGTTACAAAGTTTTTTAAATTTTAGTTCATTATAAAGTTCATTTAATTTTATTATTTATTTACAATTATTTTGCGTACTTATAACCACCGATAGCTCAGTTGGCAGAGCGGGAGACTGTAGAACATAAGTAGTAATCTCTAGGTCGCTGGTTCAAATCCGGCTCGGTGGACTTCAATTTACTTTTTTAACATTAGATAAAATAATTAAGATCCGAAGCAATAAAACTGAACAAGTTTGATTTTACTTTTTTTATACTTAGGGGTCGTCCATAAATTACGTCACGCTATAAGGAAGGGGGGGTTGATGATTTTGTGACGACTCTCATTCAAAACGCGCTTCTTAAGTGTTACGATTTTGTGACGAGGGTAGGGGGTTCGAAAACGGTCAAAAATTGCGTAATTTATGGACAACTCCTTACTAACTTATAATGATGAATTTTATCTCATTAAAAATCGTGAGAAATATAGACCTGTACAGGTCTATATTTATGTACTATACTTATGTACAGCTGTACATAAGTATAGTAGCGGAGGTCGTTACTAAACAACCTGTAATTCTTCAAAAGCATTATAATTAATTTGTAATAAAAGTTCTAATATTCTAATATTCTAATGTTCATCTAACTTTAAAATGCACTTATGATAATATTGCGAGTATTAACCAAAGAATAAAAAAACAACTTTTTCCAAATACCTCTTGTTGTCAGAACCGGCGCGAGTAGGGGGGGGGGTAGGGTTGGCTTGTACGTTGGTGGGAGGGTTCGACGATTTCGGTAACTTTCAAAACAATTACTTTTAGTTACCAGTAACTTGAGCGTAACTTGAGTGTAACTTATGGTAACATTGGGTAGCTTTTGATTTAAAAAAGTAAGTTTAAAAAAATTGACAACTATTATTGATAGAATGTGAGAAGAATTCATACATTATCAATAATACTCGCGCAGATTTCATTTAAGTCGTTTGCGTACCCAGTGGCGTAGGAAAGTTTTTAAATGTTTGAAATAACCAACTTATGAGCAACAAGAATATTCCAAATTTTTTTACGTTCATATGTATGACGAAAAGATTTTTTAAAAAAAATCTTTATTCTCCTATCACAGTAATTTTTCTTTATTTTAAATAAATAAAGAATATTCCAATTTTTTTTTTAAATAAAATTTTTAAAAAAAATTGGAATATTCTTGTTTATTTTATTTTTTGAGTCGTATTTTATGTGCGTAAACAAAAAAAAGCGAAAACGCAATTAAGAATATTTAAAGTTAAAAAGCGCTTTTCAAAATATAATTACATAAATATGCAACATCATGCTAAGCAAAAGAAAAATGTTTTCTAATAATATAAATCCCTTTTTAAAGAATATTTAAAACTTTTATTTAAACTTCAGTTTATGTAATTTTTTTTTTTTTTTTAATAAAATTTATTTCAAAATAATAAATATTTACAATTTTTCTAAACTATTTCTGTATAATAAAAAAAATATCCTTTTTACAATTAAAGAAATATTTCTGTTTTTATGTATATATATATTTTTTAATAATAATCGTTCATATTAATAAAAAGGGTTTTTCACATAAGTTTTACTATTAACTTTTTTTTAACATATTTTATAATATTTTTCCATTAAAATAACTTTCCGACTTTATATATATATTTTTTGTTTTATAAATTTTTTTTTATTTTTTTTGTGTTATTTGATTTTATTTTTTTTTTTGTATTTTTAGATTTAATATTTTTTTGTGTGTTTTTGTTTTTTTTTATTTTATTGCCTTTGTGCGGAGAGAAATCGATAAGAAGAAAAAGTTTTTAGAAGAAATTGATTAAGTTTAATTAATTATTTTAAGTGAAGGAAAAAAAAATTATAAGTAAAATAATAATAAGGTACAGGACTTTAACACAAATACCACGTTACTAAAAGTTACAAAGAAACATCCAAATAAAATTTTATATAAGTGCCGGCAGTGTTTGTCTAATCATAAATAACAATATTTTTGTAGTAATTATAGAACTTATATTTGTAGAAAACAGGAAACACTTAACTAAACATTTAGTTCTTGTTATGAGCCAGTGTACTTGTTCAGCTCATATGTTTAGTTTCAGGTTCCCATTTTCTATTTGACAAAAAACGTTATTGATACAAAAAGTTTGACAGAAAATGTCCGTAGTGTTTCTACGGACATGGTAATTATATTTTAAAGTAATAATATTTCTGATATTTCTGATAATTATCCTGATCACTGCCATTGGGTCAATTTTTGAATTGTTAAACAAATGGTGGCATCTGCTGTTCCATATTTCACTCATGATGGTTTGAGTGATTGTCAAAAGCAGCTGCGAGGTAGGGTTTTTCTCCGATAAATTCGCAGTTTCAATCGAAAATATCAAATTTATTGGAGAAAAGTTGTTTTGGGATGTCAAGGAGTTATATACATGTTTAAAGTATTCCCATATTGTAACAGAGGGAGGACAGTAGGCAAAAATGTGCAGATTGTCCTCAATTTTTCCGCAGGTTTTACATTTGTTGTTTTTAACGATCTGTTGCCTTGTGCTCTTGGCAAGCAAGGCAGCGGAAGGTAAGCTGTTTTGTGTTGGTCCGGATGCGTGGGAGGTAAAGTTTTTTTTCCAAATCTGGGTCCACGGCATTGTTGTTTTTGTTGAACTGTTCCAGAATAGTTCAGCTGGCACGACTGTCTTTTTGTTTTTTGCCACTTCTAAATAAATATTTTTTGTTGTTTTTAGGGGGATGTTAAACAGGGACCCGTATTTGCTTAAAATTTCAATTGTGGTTTTGTAGTACTGAGACATTTTGTTGTCCCAGTGTTTTGAAAAAGTGTTTTGTCTTAAAAAGTTCCAGCTTTGGTTCTGTTTAGTAAATTTTACAAGTGAACTTGCCAACCAATACTTTGAAAAGTAGTAAGAATCGTGAGTTTTGCCCTCTTGACACTCTTTTATTTGAAAGAGCGTTTTTAGGCGGAGCGCAAGACTTTGCTCCTTTGGTGATAATAACCCGAGACCCCCGCTTTTGACGGGTAGGAAAAGTGTCTCTCGTTTGACCGGGTTATAATTGGTCTTTTGCCACAAATTTTCGAAAATGGCTCTATGCAAACGCTCTATTACCCAATCTGGAGTGGGACACACGTTTGCTAGAAACCATACTTTTGACATTGCTAGCGTATTTATTAAATTAACCTTTCCTCTAAGTGACACAGTACGCAGTCCCAGAAACTTGAGCTTTTTCTCTATTTTCTTAAGAGCTACTTGCCAGTTGAAATTGGTAGTATTGCTCAATCTGGTATAAAAGGTAACACCTAAAATTTTAAAACCGGTGTCGTCGTTCCACTCTATGTTATCCAATTCTCTATAAATTTCGGGATCAAAACCCCCAAGAGCAAGACCCTTGGTTTTTGAGGCGTTAAGGTGGTAGACTGCTAAAAAAATTATTTTTGTATTTTACAATATTTCAATAAATTTTTTTACTTCGAACATGATAAATACATTAGAAAATTCATAATTTTTAATTTTTTTTTTTTTTTCCATATATATTTTGGGCAAAAACAGGTGATTTTAGGCCAAAAACAGGCTAAAATCTTGGCAAAGATATCTCAAAAAGTATAATTTATTAAGTTCTAATTTTTTGTATTTTTATTTTTTTTATGTAGATAAATGTCCTGAGATAAAAATTTTTGTTGAAAATTTCTTTATTTTAAAACATCGTTAGATTTTTCAAAGCACCCAATTAATAATCGAATTTCTGATATTAAGAACAAAAAGTTTGTTGTTTTAAAAGTTTATATTCTAAATTTTTTTATCTCAGGACATAAAGCTTATTATAATGAATCTCTGTACAAAATTTAAAGTCAATTGGACAATTACAGCTCCTACAATCTTTGCCAGAAAATTAGAAGAATAAAACAGAGAAAAAAGCATATAAAATTAAAAATATTGAATATACAAACTTATTAAAATCCCCCTTTTTTATATACTGCTCTTCTTAATTTTTGTTTTTTTTATCAAACCCTTTCCTAGTTGCTTTAAGATTTTTTCTTTGTTTTTTAATTTTTTTTTTTATTACTAACCTTAACTAGCGGTTGCTATGAGCGTTGCTAGGGGAAACAAAATTACCCTACTAATATAAATCACTTTTATTAGTTCTAAATTTTTTTTCTCATACGAAGATCTATAT